TAGCTTGGGCATCTTGGAGCGCTGTGGGACCTAGTCGAAGGCCCTCTTGGGCCGTCTTGAGCGCTCTATGGCCATCTAGTGCGTCTCGGGCCGTCGTGGGGCGACCAGGGGGGCCGGTTACGCTCCGCCAGCGCCCGCACTTCCCGCACGCACGTGTCCCTGCGTTGTAGTGTAGACTAGGGCGAACTCGTGGACTTCGTCCACGTCATCTTGGGCCAGTCTTGGCTCGAAAAGGCCGTCGTGGACCTGTCTTCGCTCGAAATGGCGAGAAGATGGAAATCTTTCAGAAACTATGCTTTCGTTTGCCGCGGCTCGTCTGGAGCGTCTTCGAGCGGTCTTGGGCCGTCTCGGAGGCCCTCTTGGACCGCTTCATTCTCGTCGTCCGCCTTCCGCTCTACCTCCGCCTAGACAGGCTTCGGAGCGTCACAGACGGCTATGGTGGGGCTGAGGTGTACGTCTCGCCGCTTGTCGATTTTGAAAGCACCTGGGGCCTTGAAAAAAGTCACCCGGAGGGCTCTGGTAACTTGTTTCCGGTTGCCTCTTCGAAGCCTGATGGCGGGCGCTGCCGTCTCCTTGGGAACGGTTAGTGGGCCTCTCGGGGTTTCTTTTCGAGCTCCTGGGGGCCTGTTGGGGCTTCGTTGGCTGTCTTGCGACCTCCTAGGGGCCTCTTGGAGCCCTTTGGGCCGTCTTGCGGCCTCCTGGGGGCCTTTTCTCTTTAAGTTATTTTGGGCGCCTCTGGGGCCGTTCCCGGGCTGTCCCCCTGAGCCTCTTCCCGGGGACAGCCCAGGAAATCTGTTGTGCTTGCGTGCTGTGCGTGCGTGCTCCTGTGTGAGAGGTCGGAAGGGTGTCCCGACGTCACCGCTCCCTCTTGGGAGCTGTGCCTGGGAGAGCTCTCTACGCTGCGTCTCGCTCTTGGGAGTTAGTGGGAACAGCTTTGTACTTCACCGATCGCTCTTTTAATGGGCGTCTCTGGGCCTGCTTGGTGGTCCTTGTGGTGGTCTTGTTCGGGCCATTCTGAGGCTTGTTTGGGCTGCTCTGGGAGCGTTTGGGGACGTTTTGGGGCCTTTTGGGGCCGTCACGGGGCGTCCGGGAGGCCTTGGACCGTCTTGGAGCTCTCTTGAGGCTGCCTGGGGCCGTCTTGGGAGCCTCTTGGGGCCCCCTCGGAGCTCTCTTGGGGCCTTCTTGGGGTTCTGTGAGACCGTTTCAGGGCTCTCTGGCGTCGTCTTGGGGCTCTTGTGGGCCGTCTTGGAGCCCTCTTAGGGGCCGCTGGCGTCTTCTTGGGGCGATTTGTGAGGCCTCTTGGCGTGTCCTGGGCCGCTGAAGAGCGCATAAGGCGGGCATGCTGAATATATACGTTTTCCCATGGGAATTTGACGAATTGTGCCTCTTTGGCGTGCGCTCGGAGCACTCTTGGAGCGTGTTTGCGGCCTCTTGGATCGTCGTGGAGCCCCCCCTGGAAGGCTTCGGGCCCTCGTGGGCCGTCTCGGGACCCACTGAAGGCATCTTGGAGCGCTCTTGGACGGTCTGGGAACCCCTCTGGAGCGCCTCTGGGACCGGCCGTAAAGAGGCGATTTTGTACACACTAGGCCCTGAAACATTCCCGCACGTGCTTCCACTGGCCATGTAGGAGAGACAAGTGTAAACCCGTGGATTAAATCCACGGCGTGCTGGGCCTGGGACTCGCACAGCGAAGGTGACCACCTCGTCGAAGTTGAACAGCTCGGGCGTCCCTAGGGCCCTAGGGCGGCAGGGGCGACCTTCGGAGGCACATGTAACGGTCACGTTTGAGGGCAATGGTTGGGGGCTGTGTGTGGGGGCCACGTTTGGGGGCGCCTGGAGGCTACGCGTGGGGGTGACGTTCGGGGGCCACGCTTACTTGGGCGGTAGGGGCGACCTTCGGAGGCTTTGTGTGGGGGCCGCCTTTGGGGGTCCCGTTTGGGGGCCACGTGTGGGGCCGACGTGTAAAAGGGCCACGTCTGGGGGCCACCCCCGAAAGCAGTCGGGGAGCTCCGGGGGCACTGACCTGGAAGCGTGAGAAGAAATTGGTTTTTGTTAATCGCGCCGGGCCTAGGCGCGATTAGCAAAAACACATGGGTTCTCAAGCACACTCAGAGTGAGGGGTCCACGTTTGCGGGCCTCGGTTGGGGGCCGCGCAAGGAGGTCTCGGGGCCATCTTGGGGGTCTCGGGCCGTCTCGGAGGTCGCTTTGGGCCCTCTTGGGCGGCATCTTGGGCCCTTCTCGGGGCGTCTAGAGGCCATCTTGGGGGTCTCGGGCAATTTCGGAGGTCGCTTTGGACCCGGTCAGGCGGGGTCTGGGGCCCAGCTGGGGCTGACTTGGGAGTCCATCCTGGGCATTTGTGGGCCCGAAATGGCGGGAACAGGGAAAGCCTCGAAACCTTCGGAAAATGTACAAATTTTGCCCTCTGGTGCCGTCCATGCGGTCCTCGGGGGCCGTCTCTGAGGCCTTTTTGGGCCGTCAGGGGGCTCCGGTGAGGCCGTCTTGGGGCCATCTGGGGGTCATGGAGCCGTCGGCGAGCGCTCCACGGGCCTCATGAGGCCGTCGAGGAGCGCCCCAGAGGCTCTCCGGGCGGCCCGCGGGCTCTCTGGGCGGCCCGGGGCGCTGCCACTGCTTGTACTTCTCGCGCGCGCCTCGCCCGGAATTGTAGTACAGAAGTCTAGGGTGGACTCGTGGACTCCGTCCACGTCATCATGTGGTAGCAGGGGGGGGATGTTGGGGGCCTGTTTTGTTGTCGTGGACGCTTTGAAAACGAAGAGCACAGAAAGTGCGAAGATGTACGTCTCCCGTTGATTTGGATACGATTCTTGCTTGTGCGGGCTTTCTCGGGCGTCTTCTGGGAGCCCACTTGGAGCGTTTTGGTGTCCTCGTGGGTGCCTCTTGGGGCCGTCTGGGGCGTTTTGGGCGCCTGCGGGGCCGTATTGGGACCGTCTGGAGGCCCTCTTGAGCCATCTGTGGCCGCTCCTGGGGCTGTGTGGACTGCTTCTTGGGCTGTAATGAGCGCCGCAGGAGCCGTCTGGGGGCCGTCGTGGGAGCCTCATGGAGGCCTCCTGAGACGTCTTGGGACGATTTTTGAGACCCATCTTGTCGCCGTGGACGCTTTGAAAACGGAAAGCGCGAGAATTGCGAATATACGTTCTTCTGTAAGTTTTGGCACGTGTTTTGCTTGTGCGGAATCTCTCGGGCGTCCTCTGGGAGCCCACGTGGAGCGTTTTGGGGCCCTCGTGGGTGCCTCTTGGGACCGTCTGGGGCCGTCTTGGGCGCCTCTTGGGCCGTCCTGGGCCGTCTCAGGGCTCTCATGTGGGCCTCTGGGTCGAGGCTGCCTTGGGGGAACTGGGGCGGCCTCTAGGGCCTGCCGTCAAGACGACAGCAACACGTAGGCAAAACAACCTGTTCTCCGAAGGGATCGGGACGAGTTGGGCCTCTCGGGGCTGTCTTGGAGAGCTTTTGTGCTCTCCTGGGGCGTCTTGCGACCTCTTGGGCCGTCGTCGAACTGACTGAGGCCGTCTTGGGGCCATCTTTGCCTTCTCTTCGGCCGTCTTTGGGCTCTGTTGGGCCGCATAATGGGGCGTGTCAAAAGGCCCAGAAGGCTGTTGGAACTGCCCTGTGGGGCACTGTTCGGCCTCCTGGGGCAGCCTGGAGTTGGAAAAAGTCATTGGTGCACAGCACCTCTTGGCGCGTGCGAGCTCCTGCATTTCAGAAGACAGACTAGATATGACCTGTGGACTAGGCTAGAAAGAGACATACGACGGCGAAGATCGTTGCCTGCTTGCGTTCTGCCATGATTGCCTGACTGCCAGCATTCCGGTCTGACAGCGTTCTTCCCTGACTACCTTCTTGCATACTGGTCTGCGTGCATGAATGTCTGCTTGACTCTTTGCTTTCTCGACCGCTCGCTGCTGTTTCGACGCTGCTTGGTGTTGCGTGATGGAATGTACTGTTGATTTCTGTGTTACTACTGCTGGCAGGTGGTTGCTTGTTGGTAAGATTGCTTGATTCTATATGGACCTGCTGTTGCATGGCGCTGCTGCTGCGAGGGGGGCGGACGGGAGATAGAGGAGCGATGAGCAAGAGGAGCGTGATACGCCGAGGAGCGAGGAGCAAGAGGCGAGGAGCCATGAGCAAGAAGAGAGGAGCCAGGAGGCCAGAGCGAGAAGCAAAGGAGTGAAGAGCGAAAATGGGGAAGTGAGGAACGACGAACGAGGAGCGTGAGAGAAGCGAGGAGCTTGGGGCGATGAGCACAAGCCAGCAGCGAGCAGCCAGGAGGAGTCTGAACAGAGGAGCCAGGATCGATGAGACTGCCAGGAGCGAGGAGCAGAGAGCGAGGAGCGAAGCGCGATGGCCGAGGAAGGAGGAGCACCGAGCAAGAAGAGAACGGGCAGGCTCGAGGAACGGCCGGCACAGGGCTCTCCCAGTGGCACCATGCGCGTGCGGCCGATCGATATCGATCTCATTGAGGCCTCCAAGAGAGGGGCGGACTGGGGGTGAGAGCTCCAATCACAATTTCGAGCTCATCGTCATGAGTACCTCTCAGGGCTCCATTTGGGGTCCTCTGGGGCCCCTTTGGGGGTGCCGTGGGCCATCTCGGAGGCCTCCTGCAGCGTCTTCGACCCCTCTTGGGACCCTCATAGGGGCCTATGGAACCGTCTCGGGCGTCCTGAGGCCCGAAACAGCCAGCATACGCACATCCGTCAAGCACCTGCGGGAAAGGATATGTGCTCGCGTCTGGAGGCCTTCTTGGGTGTCCACTCGGAGCCTTTTTTGGGAGCGTCTTCGAGGCCTATCGGGCCATCTTAGAGGACATAATGAACAGTCTTGGGGCCTTCCTTGGGCTGTCTTGGGAGCACCCGGTGGCATCTTAGCGCTCACGTGAAACTCTCTGGTGGCCTCCAGGCGCCTCGGCAGCCGCTGGGGGGGCGAGAAAAGACAATTGAGTCCGAGGGCTGTCTCGCACGCGCGTTCGCCTGCAATGTAGGGGAAATGACGTCGGGCTCCAGCTCTGCCTCCCGCAACTCGCTCAGCAGCGCCAGAGCCCGCTGCCACTGCTCGCCTTTCTCACACGCGCTGATCCCAGCGCTGTAGCTCCCTAGCCTAGGGGCTGAACAGAGGCCTACCGGCCACGAAATCCGCCGACCCCTTGGGGTCATCGGCGTGTGAGATGCTTCCCCCCTCCCCAAACCCCTCCCCCCGGAGCCTGGTCCGGTCGTTTTGGAGGGGGGGGGGGGGGGGTCCGGCCGGATTCCCCGGGATCCGCCGGCGCGGTCCGGGGGGGGTCATCCGCTCCAGAGAGTCTGCTGGGGGGGCCGCAAACGAGCGAAGAGGCTCCCAAGAAGCTCTGCAGACGGTCCAAGAGGGCCCCGAGTCGCCGAAAAAACACTCGAAGACGGTCAAGATGGCCTCCAGATGGCCCCAGATGCCTCCAAGACGCCCCAAGAAGCTTCCAAGACGCCTCCCAAGATGGCCCCAAGAGGCCAAAATCGTCGATTTCCATTGGTTTTTTCAACGTTTTTGGCCTTCGCGTTTTTTCGGGCTTCCGACGCTCCAAGACGGCGAAAGAAGCCCCCAAGACGGCATCAAGACGACCCGAGAGGCTCCCAAGTGGGCCCCAACACGGCCCAAGAGGTCCCCAAGACGGCCCAAGAGGGCTCCAAGACGGCACCACGAGGGGCCCAAGAGGGCGACCAAACATGTTGAAACTCTAGCTTTCTGCCCCCAGGAGCCCCAGGGGGCCCCAAGAGTGCCCCAAGAGGCCCCCAGAGGCCCTCACGAGGCCGCCCAGACGCCCCAAGGAACCCCCAAGAAGCACCCCAGAGGCTCCGAAACGGCCCCCGAGTGGCTCCAAAACTCGCAGTGTCGCTGTCCGCTCGGACCTCCCCGCGGAACTGCCCGAGACCCTCTGGCGGTGGCGGCGAACAGACACCAAACAAATATCACTCGCCTTTTCACCCCTTCGCAGCTTCTACTACCCCCAGATTGGCATAAACAAGGGGTCGGCGGTGTGGCGTAAGCCTAAGATCTGTCCGAGATGGCACCTGGGGCCATCGCAGAGCCCAAAGTGCTTCGTGATGACGTTGGGCCCAAACTTCGCCTATGTTGCTGCTGCCTGCGGCTGCAGGGTGCTGCTGCCCAAGGCATGCTGCTGCTGCTTACTTTTGCAGTGGGCTGCCGCTGCTTGCTGCGGACTGCTGCTCTTCGCTGTTGCTGCTTGAGGTTGCAAAGTGCTGCGCCTTGGTCCCCTTGCCAGCTGACCCAGCTTGCAGCTCGTGTGTGAAGAACCAAGGAGCGAGAAGGGAGGAATCAGGGTCGACGGGCGGGGGCAAGGGGGGAAGCGAGGCGCGATCAAAGAGGAGTATTGAAGCGATGAGGGAGGAGCAACGGTCGAGTACAGAGAACGAGAGAGAGAGAGAGATAGAGAAACAACAAAAAAACAGGATGGATAAGGGAGAGCTGAGGGAGGGAGGAGGCAAACGCCAGTAGCCAAGAGGGAGAAGTGATGAGCCAGGAGAGAGGTGGGAGAAGCGAGGAGTACGAAGAGAGGAGAGGCGGCGAGGAGCGACGAGAGGGCGGCGAGAAGCGACGAGCGTGGAGCAACGAGCGATGGAGGAGGCATGAGAAAAAGACCAGCACACGAATGTCTCAATAACCTCGGCGCCTGCGTGGCCGAACATCTGGTCTCCTCTGGGGTCGCTTGAGGCTCTCTGGATGGCCTGCGCGGTCCCAGAGCTCCTTAAGGAATCTCTTCCCTCGAAAGCCTCTTAGAGACGGTTCTTGGGGTGTCTTGGAACCTCCTGCGGCTTCTAGGGGTCCTCTTGGGGGCCTCCTGGCGGTCTGGGGGGTCATCTTGGGGCGGAGGGTGCGAAATGCCAGTTCCAACTCCCCCTCTTGGAGCCCTCTTGGGTGCATCTTGGGGCCGTCATGGGCCGTCTCGGTGGCTCTTGGGCCGTCTTGGGCTGTCGGGGGCCCTCTTGTGGGCCCGTTGGGCCGCACAAGCCCGAAAAGGTGGGAACGTCGAAATCCTTCAAAAACAAAAGAAAGCATCTATGTATGGGCCCTCTTGGGGAGCCTCTTGGAGCCCTCTTGGGCCGTCTTGGGGCCCTGTTGGGCCGTCCTGGGTCACCTCTCGGGTCATCTGGAGCTTTTTTCTTATAGCCATCTTCTGGGCCTTTCCGGAGTCTTTCCAGACGCTCCCTGCAGGCCCTCTGGGTGCGCCCCGATGCCTCTATAACCTATAGATCTATCAGGCCCCAGACCTTTCTCGCATGCACTGGTTCCAGCATTGGAGGTGACACGGTAGCTCTCCCCCCAACTCGAGGTTGGCACGCGCGAGGAACAACTGCGGTCGAAGTGCAACCGATCCAACCCACCGCAAACATTGATCAATGGGAGTGGCACTGACAGATGAATGTGCCATGAGTGTTCGTACTACACGCTGGTCGGAAGAAATGGGGGTAGAAATATAAAGTAGGAAGGCGGATAACGTAGGTTGGGTCCAGGACCTCCGAGAGAATTAACAAACACAACCAAAAGCACACCGAGTCTTGAAGTAGGAAGGCGCCTGGAGTAGACTGAGGCCTGGGCATCCACGAATGCCTACTGTCAACGACCCGCGTGTAACTTCTTCCGAGGCCCGCAAGACTGGTGCGCGCCCGTGGATGGGTCCACGGCGGGCAGGGGTCGAGGTGTCAGCCCAGGGCCCGCGCGGCTGTCGCCGGAGCGCGAGCGGAGGATGGAGAAGGGGCAGCGGCACTGGAGAGACGGGAGCGGGGCCCCACCGATACGATACGATGCAATACGACTCGCCCTTGGGGTGGACGGTAACACAGAACAGCACATCAGACTAGGGAGGCTCGTGCACCCTGATCTTCACCTCTCTCAGGAGCAGACCTGCAAGCTCCCAGAGACGCTTAGGGTCTCTCGAGCCTTTTGGGTTAAATGTCTGAGTCCAGCCTATGTGGTCCCACCTGAGGACGCGGCCCCGGGCAGACCTAGTGTAGGTCTTGGAGGAACGAGAGCTCTGGGAAGCCGATTTTGGGAGACCCAATCAAAATCTTGGGCCGTCGTCAGAACCGCAGGCCAATCGCTCTGATGACGCTAAAGGTGGCTCCACCAGCTGAGACACGCCATGAATTCTACTCCCCTCGGACCATGGCACGTCCCTGACCTGACGGGCACTCCTACCATTGTACACCTCCAGAGCCTCTTCGAGGCACTTGCGGATCCTACTCATCCAGCAAATCATTCTAAACTGAACGGCATTCAATTTCTTGGCTGCCTTGTTGTTAGGGGGCCCACGAGGCATTAGAGGCTCTCAGGATTGCGCCTACTATGGAGTCCAGCTTCTTGACCCTGGCGTTGATCGGGATCAAGGTGTTCGTCAGGAATTTGGCGTTGAGGAAGAACGCCTTTCTTCTGGTCAGCACCGTTTTTTGCAATGTCTTCCTCGGCGCTCCCCTTGCAGCAGATGATGGGCCCTAGGATGCGGAGAGACGGAGCCATCTTCCACACGTGGTTGTCTGAGTCTGTGAAATCCCACCAGCCCTCTGGGCGTCGGTGGTTTAGAGCGTTTCCTCTTCCACCCCTCCTTCTTCCCCTTCGGGGAGGGGTTTACCCCTCCCCCTACCCCCTCCCCTGGACCTGGACAAGGGGTTCCGCGAGGTGTTGGAGCGTCCAAAACGGCCTCGGCGAGGAAGCCAAAATCATTGGTTTTACTACGGTTTGGGCCCCATTTTGGCCTCTTGGGGGGGCGACCCAAATTAAAGCTCCCCTCTTGTTTGATCGATCTCCTCCACGATGGCCCCAAGAAGCGCCCAGGAGGCCCCAAGAGGTCCCAAGATGGCCCTAAGATGGCCCCAAGAGGCCCCCAAGAGGCCCCCAGGAGGCCCCCAAGAGACCCCCAAGAGGCCCCAAGAGACCCCCGACCCAAAATGCTCCAAGAGGCCTCGGCGAGAATGCCAAAACGGCCTCGGCGAGGAAGCCAACATCATCGGCTTTACTATGGTTTTGGCTCCATTTTGGCCTCCCTGGGGGGCGGGGCGCTACTTACTGCTCCCCTCTTGCTTGATCGATCTCCTCCAAGATGGCCCCGAGAAGCGCCCAGGAGGCCCCAAGAAGTCCCAAGATGGCCCCAAGATGGCCCCAGGAGGCCCCCAAGAGGCCCCCAGGAGGCCCCCAAGAGACCCCCAAGAGGCCCCAAGAGACCCCCGAGAGGCACCCAAGATGCTCCAAGAGGCCTCGGCGAGAATGCCAAAACGGCCTCGGCGAGGAAGCCAACATCATCGGCTTTACTATGGTTTTGGCTCCATTTTGGCCTCCCTGGGGGGCGGGGCGCTACTTACTGCTCCCCTCTTGCTTGATCGATCTCCTCCAAGATGGCCCCGAGAAGCGCCCAGGAGGCCCCAAGAAGTCCCAAGATGGCCCCAAGATGGCCCCAGGAGGCCCCCAAGAGGCCCCCAGGAGGCCCCCAAGAGACCCCCAAGAGGCCCCAAGAGACCCCCGAGAGGCACCCAAGATGCTCCAAGAGGCCTCGGCGAGAATGCCAAAATCATTGATTTTACTGAATTTTAGCCACATGTTGACCTCTTGGAGGGGACACTGATTAAGATCAAGAGCGCCTGGGAGAGCCCAAAATGACCTCCAAGATGGCTCAAGATACCTCAAGATGTCTCATACTGGCTTCCTCTGTGAGCTGCCCATGCCCACTTCCCTGATCGAGGCAATTCCTCTGGGTATCGTTTCTGGATGGGCTGGTGGGGATTCGCGAAGCGTCAACAATTCGCCTCCAGACACCAAGTGCTCGACGATTTGATGAGTTCCCTACTGGATTATTTCAGTCTCGAGAAGTGATGGTTTTTAAGTCGTGACCCCCATTCAGCCATTAGTCGGATTGCTTCCATATAAGTCTCGGCAACAATAAAGACATTGCCGCTCCAAAGTGCCAGGCACAACTTACGAGAACCCACGCGTAGTCCCACCGCCTGCATTAGCAATTTTTCTTGGCACAATGCCCTCAATGGATACCCTCGCAAGCATGCCTGCTGTGGGAGCTCCCGCCTGCGCCCCTCGACTCCTGAAAATATCCTCCGTTCTCACACGAGGACGAAAAGGAGGAGGACGAGGAAGAGGAAGAGGAGGAAGAGGAGGAAGAGGAGGAGGAGGAGGAGGAGGAGAGAGGAGGGAGGAGGAGGAGGGGGGCGAGGAGGAGGAGGAGAAGGAGGACGAGGACGATGAGGAAGGAGGAGAACGTGGAGGGGAGCTTTCTGGGGACTTGTTGGGGGTCTGGGGCTTTCTATGGGGCTACTGTCGTGGAGATCCCCCATGTGACCCCTCGTCGGCCGCAGGGGGGGGGGGGGGAGGGAAGGCTTGCTGGCGTGTGCAGGGAGGGGGAGGTAGGCGAGCAGAAGGAGGAGAGCGGCAACAGAGCAAGGGGTGTGAAAGCACCCACAGGAGGAGGAGGAGGAGGAGGAGGAGGAGGAGGAAGAGGAGGAGGAGGAGGAGGAGGAGGGGGAAGAGAAAGAGGAAGGAAAAGCGAAGAGAGGAAAACAGGGAGACGGGCGTAAATTTGGTTCGGGTTTTTCTTTCGGGCTACTGGGGATCCAGAAACCGCGAGTGGTTCCTGGTCTCGAGGCTCTCCTGGGAGCTCCTTGGCGACTATCGAAGTCTCGTGGGGAGCTCTTGGGCATGTAAGAATGGCCTCAGACCTCTCTGGCGTCGGGGGGCGTTCTTTGGGACTTCGGGGAATCAAGAGAAGGCGAAAGGTGCTAGGGATGGAGGCTCTCCTGGGAGCTCCTCAGTGTCTTTTGGAAGCGCTAAGCGTCAGAGCACATCCGAATGGCCTTTCTTGAGCAACTCTTGGGGCCCTCTTTGAGCATTTAGGGCCCTCGTAGGCCGTCTTGGGGCAATGTTGGGAGTCTAGGACCGGCTTTGAGCCCGCTTTGAGTCCTTTTGGGCAACTCCTGGGACCCTCTTGGGGCTGTCTTGGGAGGTCACTGGAGCCTCTCTTGGGTTGTCTTGGTACCTTCTTGGGCAGTCTTGGGGCGATCTTGGAAGGACCTGCAGCTTGAAGCCGTGTGGGGACGCTCAGGATCACAAGAGGCCGTCTTGGCGCCCTCGTGAGCGCATCAGAGCTGTCCTGGGGCCGTTTGAAGCAGTCTTGGGGCCATCAGGGGGACCCGCTGGAGCCCCCGTGGAGCGCCCCGAGGCGCGCCAGAATCTCGCCCGTCCCGCCCGTTTCGCGCGCGCCTCAACCAGAATTGCAGTACAGATGACGTCGGGCTCCAGCTTGGCCTCCCACATCTTACTGAGCACCAGCAATGCGCATTGCCACTGCCCGCCTGTTCTGCATGCACTGACTGCCGCAACATAGTGGTCTCGGAAGAGCTGCACACCTGATTCAATTCCTTCGCGCAGCAATTGTAGTGCTACGCCCCAGTTTCTTGTCCTACCATACTTCTTAATTGCCGCCACTTCGAGGTCTGGCGACCTTCTACCGATGTCTAGCATTCGAAATATGTGGCATCACGGCAGCTTGCTCGATCTCCTCCTCCTCCTTGAGTCACATGGCTTGAGCCAAGCTTGAGAGAAGGTTGAACCAAAAAACCATGGACTCCTGCCCGGGAAACAAGCCGGCGGCTAGAAGAGACTCCCACCAGACCTCTGGGCGTATCTGGCTTAGCAGAACCATTAGTCCAACCTGATTCCTCCTATCGGGACAGAGTCGGTCACTCCTTGTTGATAAACGCTCCCTTCGCCTCCCCTCCCTCAATGGACCAGCCCCCAACCGGGGACAAGAAGCCCACCCCATCTTGAAATCGACAGGGTACCCCGCAAGCACTTTACACATGTTTTTGGCCGCCTCAGGAGCGCTCTAAGATCGCCCGAGGGAGCTCCGAGAGGGGCCCCAAAGGCCCCCTGAGCGCCCAAGAGCTCCCCTTGAGATGCCCAAGGGGACCGCAAGAAACGATGTTGCGGCCTCCGACAGGGGGGCTTCAACTCAGGACCCCCCCTCGTTCAAAGCAAAGGTACTTGAAAGACTCCTTCCATGCTTGAAATATGTTCGTCTCTCGGGGGCATCCCTTGGAGGCGTCTGGCACACAACGGCTCCAAGATGGATGAAGACGCCTTAAGCTGGCCTCCAAGAACACGGAATGTAGCCCACGATGGATGAGGATAGCCTACGCCACGCTTCCAGGAGACCCCCAAACGGCCCCAACACAGCTCCAAGTGGCCTCGGGGTCTCCTAGAGACACCCTGGAGATGCCAACAAAACATTCGAAGCCATAGCATGCTACCATTGTTATGGCCTTCTCACTTCTTGGTTTCCGATGGACCTGTGATGCCTCGCGATGGCCCCACGATCGCCTAAGAGAGCCCCAAGTGGCCTGAAGGGACTCCAAAGTGGCCTGCAAAGAGCCAAGAGCGCCTCAAGAGCGACCCGGCTGCAAGAGGCGACTCGTCTGGCTCCGACAAGGGACCCTCGCTTGTGATGG